GAAGCGCTGGCAGACGTCAGTCTGTCCCTCAGCAGAGGCCACAGCTGGACATACTCTGTAGTCCACATAGCTGGACATGTGGCCGGCATACTGACAGAACTCTACATGAACGTGAGGCCCGGCCCCTCCAGAGGTCACACTGCGACTGTTATCCAGCTTACTAGAAGGAGGAAGAGAGAATGAGGGAATAGAGAGTGACATTAACATCGATTAGAACTGACAGTTTAAAACTTTGACACTTCCTTTTATCGGTAATAATAACAGTCCACTTGTGACAATTTGTGAATTATGTTTGATGTAGATACAATTATATGTAATTAAATTCCAAACACTTAATTTGTCCCTCCAGGGATATTCTGACCAAAACAAACCAAAAATAAAAAATATGATCACGTAGGAAAAAAGGGTTTCAATGGCAGTGGCCAATCTGGAACTGACCAACAATATCCAAAAGCATGAATCCATACTATTTAAAAAGGCAAAACATGCCAAATGTTGGAAAAAGTGCAGGCACATTTACCAATCTATATGCAAGGTAAATTGTCCATCTCTTGTACTGCTGCCTTTTCGAATAAAACCCAATTTCCTTCCATTTGTTTTACAGACCGGTCCTCTTAGATTACAGTGGTCAAAGAGGACATGTGGGGTCGTTGATAATCTTGTATGCTTATATGGTGGCTTGCCCAGTATTTAGATGCGCTAGGGACCTCTGCGTTTTAATTAATAATTTTAGAGTTCAGGTTAACAACACTTTCCAATCAGTTCTTGTCCTATTGCAAAAGGGATATAAACCAGCAAATACATGGAAAACCTTAAGTAGTATAAATGAAATAAGAATAAAACACTAATATTTTTTTAGTCCAAATAAATTCGGTTTGTTTAGCCGAGGGGTGATCAAACTTTTCTGAATGGGGGCGAGAATAAACAATGTGAAAATTCCTGGTGGCAGCTGCTACTTAATTCATATGGGTCATTAAAAAACAAACAACAACAAAAAACAACAACATACAAATGAGACAAATGCAACTGTTTCATCTTTCAGTGAAAAAGTATCTCTGCTATGGTCTGCTACCTCGCAAGAAATGTCTGTTGCTACGTAACCATTTGTTTGCTTGTTTACTGTTTACTTATTAAAACACATTCATTCCACCTGAGTTGTTCCTACTTGGTGCGTGTTTATTAACTGTATAGTAGTGCTGCCATTGTGAGGTGAACGGAAAAAATTCAATGTGAAATTGCATGATTAACTAATATTGTGTGATGGGCTACATATGGTGTATATTGAGAGACAAGACACGAGCTGCTTAAAATCGGACTTTGGACATGCCTAATGTAGATAGTCCAGATGCAGCAGAGCTTTATATATGTACACACACACACACACACACACACACACACACACACATACTGTATGCATATACTCACCATTTTTTATAGGCGTACTCCAGATAGGATGCAGTGAGCCGGAGCTCAAATTCAGTGACATATTTGGTGTCATAGATACCAGCAGGAAACATCTCAGACAGGTCGGCTGTGAAGGTGGCCAAGCGCTCGGGCAGATGTGCATAGAAACTCTGGGAGAGAAAAAGACAAAATCCATTATGTTAAAAAACACAAGTGCAGTGTGCTGTGAGAAAGACATGAGATTTAAAATACGATATGGGAACTCTGACACGTGTGCACTTTCTTGTTTTTAACCAGCTGATGGTAACATTTGAACACTTGACAAAGACCATTTTAAAAGATTTAATATGCAATGTCTGTCCATATTTTGTTTGACATTTCATCAGTGATTTATCTGCAAATCATTTTTGGATTAATATTTCATCTATAAAATGTAAGAAAATATTTTTTAATTTATCATAAATTTATCATTTATCATTTACCTCATTTGCAAAAAAAAAAAAAATCTATTTGGTATTCAACTTCTGCAAATAAAATACATGCCATTTACAGATCAGAAAAAAAATGAACCTCGACAGTAAAATAACTTAATAACTTGATGATACCTGGTAAAGGAAGGCCATGTCAATGAGGCCGTTGTGGAGCACCAGAGGCTTCCTAGCACGCAGCAGTTCAGTGAATAAGGCCCGGATGTGGACGCCCTGGTCGTCTGATGCTCCCTAACATGTAAGGTAGAGAGAGAAACGACAATCAAACCAAATAACATGAGGGAGGTCAATTATCCTTTGCAGCATCCTGTTGTATGTTATACTGGTGATGTAATATAACACTACAATATATGATAACTAGAAAGTCTTCAGTGGATCCACACATGTAACAGACGTGTACAATAGAGAGCAGAGTGGGCTCAGAACACACAGCACAGTACAGATCAGCATGTAAGTATCATCACCTTATTATTGCCCTTGTTGTATGGGATTCCATAGGCGTACTGCTTGTTAAAGTCAAAGCCATGCTGAACCAGGAACTGGACTGACTGAGGCTCTATGATGTACTCCTCTGAACACAGCAGGGTGAGGTTATACACCTGGACCAGGTACGTGTCTGCAGCCTGGGGAAGAGATCAAATAAGGAGACATAGAATGAACTTCGCGGATATAACACAGAAGTCTGCTGTGGCAAATTCTTTTATCTGACATGCACAAGATACATGAATTGATGATGGTGTTGGAAGACAGATCATAAATACCCCATAAATTACTTATATGTAAGAACCATCTAATTAGCATTCCTCTTCGTGTAAATGTCATGCTCATCAGAAATATAAAATAACAATTTGATATACAGTATATGGACAAAAGTATATGGATAGTAGGCTTGGACAGTATCTAGTGTTTCATACCTTCCTGAAATTTTACCAGAGTATATAACAGTATGAGTGTGTGGTGCTAATTAATTGACTGAGTTAGATGTAAAAGAACATGCTGCCTTCCCCCATGGCATCTCTCTGTGCCATTGCTGGCTGGATACAGTTCTGTAACTTACTCCTCCACCACTCAAAGTCATGGTGTCTGTCAGCTCAGCTGCCTGTTCCACCAGTAGAGACTAGACACTCACCTCTGGTGGTGTGAGCTTTGCAGTACATACCATGAGTCTGTTAGAGAGAAGAGCACCTGTATTTATGATGGTATTGGAAAACATATTGTCAGGATTTCTAAATACCCTTGTAAACCGTAATACCACCCAAGCCTATTGGACAGCTGTATCCACATTTTATGCATTTGGAGAATCTTGTTGTACCTTGTCATTCAGTTTCTTGTAACAGGAGATTCCCAGGGAGAGAATGGAGCGAGAGCGAGCTGCATGGCATATGGCTTTGTATCTGTCCTCTATAGATCTGAAACATGACAGCGAGGGTCAGGGTGAATGGACAGAAACATAAACACTAATATAATATGCTGGTCAGATGGCATGACACTGACTGAAAACTGCATAGTTTGCATCCATGGCTTCTTACACAACAACCTCTTTCAGGTGAGTGTGTGTTGGAAAAAAAGTGCAGAGAGAACAGCTGATGTTTTTACTTACTCAGCCAGTAGGGACTTCCTGTTTCCAAGACCACTCAGCTCCTAACACAACACAGGGAACAGAAAAATGAACAAATACACAGTGTGAGAAAGCAGTAACGATGATGCCTGTGGTGACAAATGTTCAGACTCTGAAAGACGAGGTTCGAGTATTGTTGAAGGATAGGCTGAGTTGTGTGCATGCGTGTATGAGAGTCAGTGATATGTGTCAGCATATTTATATATGAACTGGATAGGTTGGTGTATGGAGTAAGGAATATGGGAGAAGAAGGGGAAACAGTATAGTAATAATAAATATCTGCCACAACTACAACAATAATAATACCATAGTTACAGTCAGCCTTCCCCTTTTTTAAATATCTGTTTTCTTTTTCTTTCTCTCCCCTTTCCTTTATGTCTATAGCCCATCTTTTTATTAGAGTGCTGTTGCTTTCAGCCACCCAGATGAAGGCAGTGGCCCATTGTGCCTCTTCCCATCTTGAACCACTTGCAGACACTTAAGAAAGGGGCCTGTCTTTGATGGATATGAACTGATTGTCATGAAAGAGGTGACGATGATCTGTAATCTCTTTTAAAGCCAATGTAAAGCAGTGGATGGAGAGGGGTGTATATGAGCTGGAAATTAAAGTTATGCCAAATAAGGATGAATTGTTGATTTAGTGTTTGATTGTAATTCTGTAAGTGAAATGTTATTATAAAAGGTGTGTTTCTGATAATGAAATCTAAGGTAGGTAGTGTGTGTTTGCCTTCAATGTTTCACATGTTGGATCCCACCTCTCTTCGACACTTCTCGCAATACTTGAAATGCTAACAGTGATTAAACTCTGGTGCATGCTGGTCGGGTAGACGCTCTCTCACACACACTTGCACTTACCGTGTCCAGTGCAACGAAAGACGACGTCTTAATGGCGACCACCATGGCAGGCCAAAGCTCTTTGAAGTTATCATTCTGGACATCTATAACTGGGACTATCAGTGAAGACACCATGTTTTATTGTATAGAAAGCAAACAGCTCTTATTCGCGCCTGAAACGTTTTCAGCAGTTCCCAACGGCTACCCGGAATATTAGCTAGTTTAGCTAACTACCCAGCAAACGCGTTCATTATCAGATGCTCTGTGCAGAGCTCTTGTTTGTTGCTTACTTGTTATATTATCTTCACACATTCGATAGTTACTTTAGCTGTTACTAATTTATTGGCACTTACTCGAGTCGACTACTAACATCACTTCCACCGTAAACATTTCAACGTGCTTTGGGGTCTTGTGACAAAATATCCATAGTAGTTGGACTATTGCCTGAACGCAAATAAAAAGCTTTTGCCGATAAATGCGTGCGCGGAGTTTTTAAAATTAATAAATACAAATTTTACATCGGTAATTGTCTATTTTATGTTTTAAATTTACTTCTCCGTTTGACTTTTTGCTTTTAAAGAAACATTTCAAGCAGGCGTTTACGACAGACACACATAAAAAATACGTCATCATAATTAACTGTCGAGGTGAAGTGCGCCATTTTGGCTCAAACAAAGTCAGAAACATTTTATCCACGATAAATTATATTAAATTTTATCTATGAAATACCGTGTAAAAGTGTGCTGGACGGGATTCCGGTTTCCACGAGTTAACGTTTAATGCTACTGTAACTTTTTCTTGTCTTTACACCGCGTATGTAGTTAGCTAAAAGTAATGACTAAAATTCCCAGCTGAGCTTTAGTGGCAGTCAAGCTATCCTGACGTTTGCTAAATTTAGCTTTCCTGTTTGTTTGAACCTCCGCAATGGGGGGCTGCTCCGCGCCAAACTGCTCCAATTCAACCAGCACAGGTAAACAGCTCTTCAGGTTCCCCAAAGACCCTGTTCGTAAGAAGAAATGGGTGGTGAACTGTCGACGTGACTTCGAGCCAACTCCTCACTCCAGACTCTGTCAGGTAGCTACGGTTACACAGAGGCGTAGATATATGCTTGTGACCTAGCACTAATTTATTAAAGCACTGTTACAGAGACAATGCATACGCTCAGAGGAAGACCCAAAGTTAAATTTGATATGACAATGCATCAAAAGAGTGTAGGATTATATGAATTTATTATGGTAAATTATTCTCTGGGTTCAGTTGATTGTCACTCTTACATTACTTTCCCTCTGCCACATTTAAACTTGGCACTCACTGTGTTTGGGTGCATCACTAGTATGATAATGTGTTTTTGTATTCCTGTCCTGTTCCCCAAAGGACCATTTTGAGCAGAGCCAGTTTGAGGAAATAGCAAGGTCTCCAGCTGGGGGAAAGAAGCTGAAGCCCAATGCCATCCCCACTCTGTTCAGTATTGGAGACCCTCCTTACCCTGCAGTCACTATTCCATACATCTTGCTGCCCATGAAACCTGAACCAGGTAAATGTGCAAAGAAAAGGGATGAAAATATCAGTTCATTTGATCCATATTTAAACAGGAAGAATTCAGCCAAACAGTGCCAAAGCATGTATGCCTGTTAGTTGAACTGTATATAAAATGCCAGGAAGCACAATACCAGTTAGACATTGCTTTGTGTGTGTGTGTGTGTGTGTAGTGGAGAAGGAGCTGAATTTCGGGGACCATGGCTATGCCAGACGGACTCCACTGCCTGGCCTTGAGGAGGAGGATGCAGACAGGACCGCTGAGGACCAGCAGCCTTGTACACAGTGTCATCTCCTCAAGAAACAGCTGGAGCAGGAGATGCAGCACACGGCAAGGCTTCAGAAGGAGGTAGGATGGCTCCCAGTGTCTCTTGCAACAAATTACTCTCCTAGATTTTGTTGTTTTTTTCTGTGAAAGGGCACTGTGCTGTATTTTAACACAGATAAATCAAATTGAGACAAGAAATCAGTGAGGGAACCATATGTGTTAATGTTCCATAAATATCCCTAATAACCTGTTTTCTTCTCTGGCAGGCAGAGGAGATGAAGAAGCGTCTGTATCGGCTGGACCGGATCGAGAAGGGTCTCCAGAACTTTTTGTACGAGGACCAGATTCGTGCCCTGTCCCTCACCAAGCGCTCCAGACGTGCCGTCTGGTCTCCAGAGACCATCATGAAAGCACGAAAAATCCGCTGTGCAGTTGGCACAAAAGGCTATGAGTACTTACGGGAGCTGGGATACCCTTTGCCTTCCTACAGGACTCTATGTAACCGCCTGGAAACTAAAATCATGGTAACGACTGACATGAGCTGTGAGGAGCTTGCAGAGCTGGGCCTGGGGCTCATGGCCACCTGTGACAGTCCCACAGAAGGTGTTGTGGACAATGATGAGGAGGAACTGATTGGTGTTTTATCCTGATTATAGCGTTTTGCGTGACTTTAAGACTCTAACCAAGGCAGGAATGTGCAGAATTTGCTGGCGGAACATGAGCACACTATGTGTCCTGTATTTCATCTACGAAAGACTTAAGCATTAATATAAATGTATGCATCGCTTGAGAGATTGTGAGTTGACTCATCTGAGTTGTGCTTGTGATCTACAACATGAAGACACGGCTTTGCTCAACTGATGTGAGATGCTGGGGTAATGCTTATGGTGTTTCTTACCACAAAGATGCTGAGCTCTGGTCTGTGCTGCAACGTGAGGAGATGTAAACTGTGGCTAAGAAGACTACAATGGAGTGTGGAAAGTGAAAACACAATTTTCACAAAGCTTGTTGACTTTGCTGCTTGTGTGTACAACTAATTTAACGTGTTTCACTGACGGTGTTTACATGCACAACAACACTCTAATAATGTTCAGGATACTCCGATGTACTGGGAGCAGATAAACCTATATCCTGGGTTAGGTAGCCTGAGTATTCCGATATTATGAGGCATATGGCATGTAAATATTTGACACTATAAACAGGTCCTGTACATTATGCAAGCTTTATTTTTTGTTATAATTCACCCAAAGTATTTATCATCTGATGGTGTGTGTGTAAAGCAGTAGTGCAGAAGTGGGATACAAGTGAGTGTCTAGGAGAGTGTTTGCATTTATAATCAATGGGGTCTAGTCTCTACAAGTCATCCAAATGCTGTCAGCAACATTCGAGTTGATATCCTACCCTGTCACCTATATTGATCATATCGCCAAATTGAAACCTTTGCTGTTTTTCAATGACAAATTATAGAATGTGTCAGGGAGTACACCCTTAGAGCTGTGTACAGTCAACAAGGAGTTATAAGTAAACCCCCCCTTGGTAAAAAAAAAACTATCAGTAGTTTTCTACACTAGAGAGAGTGTAAATTTCTGGCTTGAAGTGTTGCAGTGCAGTTGTAGTTACCCACAAAGGGTACAAAAAAAAGCTCAGGCGAGTCACAGTTAGTCACGTAACATTCAATATCCAAAACCACACTGGCACTGTGAGTAAATAAAGTGACTGTAAAGAATTATCTGTATTTTTCATTGCATATCAGTAACAGATAAACTGTATTGTTGCCATCACTGCACTGGTTACATTACAACTGACATGAAAGCTCATGGAAAAATAACTAACCACAAGTCTCCTTAAATACCACTGAAGTAACTAAATACTTACACTGGCCTATCAGGTGATGTATGTATCTTCTTTCCAGGTTATCTTTACCCTCCTTAAAACAAAGAATGACACTTTACTTTGGCTCACATTAGACTTTGACCAAATAACTCACATGGGAGATTAGATATTTGTTTTGCAGTGGACTCGTTACCTGAGCTGAACTGCAAAATGAGGTCTAGTAACGTTTAGGTTGCAACATTGATACGGCAAGTTATAAATGTTGCATAGAGAGTTGTGAAGACAAGTGCAGCTTTACAGTGCATGTCTATACAGTAAAGTTTACATCAGCCTTTTTGACCGACAATACATCTCTCCTCTGTGAGTCTGTCACTCTGACTATGTCGTGCTATTTGTTGATTGATTTTGACCCCTTGCCTCTTACAAAAGTGCAACCATGGTTTAGTTTGGCACATGTGGCATTCACCTCTACACAGTTTGAAGCATGAGTCATGCATAGTAAAGTAAATATGCTCAGTAATACGATCAATATCATGTACAAGAAGTTCTTTTGATGGTAAATAAGAGTCTACGGTCACGCTTGGGGCTCTGTAGGGATGCAGGTGCTTTGAACTAAACAGAAAATGAGCGTGACCTACTAATGACAATGCTAACATGCTGATGTGTAATGGGTATTTTTACATTTTAGTTTTGCATGTCAGCATGCTAACATTTGCCAATTAACACAGTAAGTACAGTCGAGGTGGATGGGAGTATCATTAGTGCAGATATTTCGCATAAACTAAACAGTAGGCCAACTAAAATTTGGACCTGATGGTGCTAGATGAAAAGTCAGAGGTTCACAGTTCATTAGGGTTCATTCTCTGGGGACCATGAATGTCTGTAAATACATCTGTGCCAATCCATCAAGTAGATGTTGAGATATTTCACTGGATAAGTAAAAACTGCCTGCGATGCAATAACAAGTAATAGGATCACTGAAGTCATATGGCTTCATCCTCTGGGCACAAGAGACATCTGTACAGAAGTTCATGGCAATCCATCCAGTAGTTGCTGTGATATTTCATCACTTTGGTGAACCAAATGACAGAAAGGCTGAATGACCAACTGTAGAACCAGCTGCAAACATGGCTCAAAACATGAAAAGTCATATGGAAGTGCAACTACAGTACATCTGCTCTGGTGGAGACAGTGCTGGGATGGGATCAATCAGACTGGAGACAAGTTACACTGATTAGTTTATAGAAGTTGACATTGCAAAGTCAGGTTGAGTATGATCTGATTGAGGATTAAAAGTGTCTCAAAAGGAAAATCCTTCTGATAGTCCTCTGAGTATAAACAATGAGTATAAATAAAGTGAATCTCCAAATAATAAGGTTCATAGCTTACTAAATATGAGCCCATGACAGACGTACAACAGGGGGAAGGCTAATACTAATACTTGAAAATAAGTCGGTATGCTTAAATAAAATGCTTGATTTTTTTTTAAAAAAGAAAGTACAATGGAAAAGGAGGAGGTGGTGTGGTCTAGAAGCTTAAGGTGTTGACCATGAATCAACCTTAATTTGAGTCTGGCTGGGGTCTTTGTTGTATAATACTTTCTCCCCTTATTTAGCACACACACACACATATATATATATATGATCAGCCAAAACATTAACACCACTGGCTGGTGAAGTAAATAACATTGATCGTCTTGTTTCAGTGTAATGTTCTGCTTGGTAACCTTGGGTTTCAGGTAGCATTCATGCCACTCCACCCACCCAAACACTGTTGCAGACCAAGACCAAGAGCTCAAGACGTCAATCTGACCTGCGAATTCCCCAGATCCCAATCTTGCTGGCACCCTACCTCACAACCTACAGGACTCACAGGATCCCCTGCCAACGCCCTGGTACCAGGCACCACAGGACACCCCCCCAAAGGTCCTATGTTCGTGCTACAACAGGTCAAAGCCAAGTCTGATCCAAGGAGGCCCCACTGTGGATCAGGGGTACCTCTGGGGGACCAGCCCCTCTCACAAATGCTCGTTCAGATTGGGATCTGGGCAATTATGAGGCCTGGTTGACACCTTGAGCACTTTGTCACATTCTTTGGGCCATTTCTGAGCAGTTTTTGTAGTGTGGCATTGTTCTGCTGAGGGGCTACTGCCATAGGGGGTACTCATCGCTATGAGGGGGGGCACTTGGTCTGTGTTTGGATTGGGTGGAGCATGTCAACTGGTGTCCAAATGAATGCCAGGACCCAAGGTTTCCCTGCAGAACATTCCATTGAAACGAGATGATGAACGTTATTCACCTCACCTGCCAGTGGTTTTAATGTTCTGGCTGATGTATATACAGTATAACATGCATATACACAGTGTGTGTGATAACAGGGCTGGGGGATGGTAAACCTGAATGGAATCTAATGTTATAAATTTTACCTGCTTTTCCTGTTTGTATGTCAAATTCCTGTGCATATATCTTAATAAATATATAATATAAAATGCACTGGTGATTAAGATACTTTCAAATTGAAGTCCAACAAGGAACAGCAACAACAAGGGTCTTTACGCTATTCTCTCTCCCTTTATCTCTCTCTCTTACTGTGTCTGTCTCTCTCTCTGTTTAATTTGGGGGAAGTGCTTAGTCAACCCCACAGGCTTTAAAAACAACAGGGGTTCACTGCCCGTGTTTATGTGGGTCACAGGACAGAGAGTGGACAGAGGTAAGTTTGGACAGCGTTTCTTCTTGGGCTCATGTGAGTTACTAACTGTCAGTCTTTTATTTTGAGAGGCAAATATAAATATGTTACCCAGTTATATATGATTTTACATTTTTGCATTAGAGGGGTAGGTTTCTTTTTTTCCTTTTTCTATAACTACGCTTCTTCAAAATAGTTCATTAATTTTTTTGATTGCAATTTTAGTCACTTAATCTGAATTCAGCAGGTAGCCACAGCACATGTTAAACACAATTGCAATTCCATCATGTTGGTTAAACTGGAGCTGTGCTATTTCCAAACACTGACATATTCATTAAGATCAGATTTGCAATTTAATGACTTATTTTTGAATCATTTTATATTGAGGTCCAAAAAGGGCACATTTATGTGTTTGTGCAGATATTTTGGACGTCACTGTGGCTGTAAATATCTCTGTCCCAGCCTCTCTTTGTCTCTCTGTCCCAGCCTGTCCGTCCCATTAGCCCTGACATTCTTCTGTCTGTTGGCTGTTTACCCCATAATAAACTGTTTTTGCAGATTATCTCCACATGCGATGAGAGAGACAATGAGGGTTTACTCTTTTAATTATTTGGGGATCAGACTGACGGGACATTTGGTTCAGGGCTGGGGAAACTTGCCAAAGACTGAATCTGCTTTTCATCCCAGACTGTGCATGTGCTGCCCTGCTGTAGTCTGCAGTCTGCATTTATGTCCTCATAATTGCAATTACATATAGACTGTAGAAGCTTTGGCAAATGTTTGGTGAAGATCTCAGATTGATGATGACTCACAGTCACTGAATTCATGACTTTTATTCCTTTTGATTTTTGTTGAATTACATGCACGTCTCAAAATATGGTTTAATGATGTTTAAAGTGCTACATGTAGCAGCTGTGTGACAATGTAATAATGAATGTATGTCTTCCTCATCAGGTAGATTCAGTCCAGCCAGCCAGGGGGAGACAATGCGCTGTCTCTCGTCGCTGTGGCTGTACGCGGCCCTGCCAGGTCTGCTGTTGGCCTCACATGTCACTCTGATTGTAGAGGGAGATAATGATGCCTCCAGGATCTGCAAACCTGCCCCCCACTGGGCGATAAAAGGACATGCACCCATGCAAAAGCTGCTGGGAAATGTGGTCGTGGTGGCGCTACTGAAGGCTAGCTGACAGTTCTGTCTCACTCAGGCCTCCAAGTAAGAAAACACACTTATAGACAAGGTGAAAAATGTAAAGGGAAGATTAAATTATTAAGAAAATTATTCAAAATGCGGTTAAGAAACTGGAACATGTTGGGATACATGTTCCAAAAGTCTTGAAGATGTTTCAGTATCAAAAATACAAAAATGAATGTGCCATTTATCTTATAAAATATAATGCTTTTTATCTGCATGGCTTGAACATCGACCTTGTATCACACAAATGTCAAGTATCTTGAATTTCAATTTAATTTGCAGCACATTCAGTCACTTCATCGGACTCTTACTTACTTCACTTTTTTTACTTTCTTTCTCTCCATAGAATTGGAGGCCTGCGTGACAAGCTGAACCGCAGCAACCTGACAGAGGTGTCTTTTATGATAGTAAATGAGCGCGAGGCTATGTCCAGAGCGATGTTCTGGGAGCTGAAGAGAAGAGCGCCCCCTGATGTTCCTGTCTACCAGCAGGAACCCTTTCAAGATGACGTGTGGGAGGCTCTGGATGGTGACAAAGATGACTTCTTGGTCTATGATAGGTAAAGCCTAGGGATCAAATTGTTATTACGTTATTTCACAACCCCAGTAAGGTTCAGCTCTTTGATCAGTGTAAATATAAAATGCATAAAATATTAGTCCTGGTGCGCTTGGCTTGCCAGTTTTTGCTCTGCTTCAATAGTAGATATCTCCAATCACCAAATTCCTGATTATAATAATGAGATCACTATGAATACAACTATCTCATGATATGAGCGTGGACAGTAGAGAATACAAAACAGAATGTGCTTTGAAGGGGCCAAACTGATTTTCATCTAATTTTTGATTCTCTCCCTCTCTCTTTCTCCGTTTTCTCTAGGTGCGGTCTGCTCACCTTCCACATAGTGCTGCCTTACAGTTTCTTGCATTACGTCTATGTAGAGGCTGCAATCAGAGCCACTTATCATAAAAACATCTGCAACTGCACTGTGAGTATTCACAAAACACACATGCAAATGCTTGCAAACACACAAATGGCTTTCACCCTCACTTATAAATGTTTTTACATTAACAATGGATCAAATGACTGTGTGTAATGTGAAAGTGTTCACTCACAATGACAAACCTACTCAGAATTTTCACCCAACCCTGCTTTTCACCCCATCTCTACTGATGTTGTTGCTGCTGTTTAACTCTGATAAACCCACTGTACACTATTCAACCAACACCAACTAGAAGGCAGACAAGGTTAGCAGCTACCTGGTGAACAAAGGGGAGCATAGCAGTTCAAGAGGAAGATATTTTTCTCAGGAGTTGTTCATCAAAACATAGCTTACTGAATATTGTTCAGAAACACAGCTCCAAATAAATGATAATAGCATTATGTCTGCTGGATGTTTAAAATGTAATAGCGATTGGATGGCATAATAACATTTCAGTGTGTTTTTAGCTTGTTCTGCTGCCTGAGTGGCCGAATAAAGACAATTACTGCACCTTTAAGCTTAAAAAAGAAAATGTAATCAAAACGTATTTAATCTTCCCCAGGCTAACTCCACTTCATCAAGTGGCAACTTCATAGATGCAACTGCAAATCAGACAGAAATTGAGGAGCCAGAGGTGGAAGGCACAGCTCCTGGAGAGACTCATCACCACAGACACCACGATCATCACCATAATCATCATCATCCCCACCACCAACACCACACCACTCACCGCAATCAGTCCCAACATCAGCATGAAACAAGTCAGAATAAAACTCAGAATCTTCATCTCAGTCATCATCACCACTCGCATCCTCAGCACCATCACTCTCATTCTCACCATCATCACCCCCGTCATCATCATCATCATCAGCAGCCTGGCAACCACAGTGATCATAGTGACAATTAGGATACCAGTTAAATTACTAGTGTTTTTACTTGCTACTTCTTTACAATGGGTTTACTTCATGTTTCACTTTTGTTACAGTGTTTTTACTTTGATGGCAGCAGTTCACTGAGCAGTCCAGTCTGTTTAAGCAGTAATCAGATTGTGGTTTCTCTGCTAGCATCTCCACACCTCACTCATCTGTTTGGATAACATAGCCATGCTACCTTGTCTCCTCCCATTAATGAAGTCTACAGTGTGAAACCTGCCTGCAGGAAGCTGTAGATGGATGTGTGTGGAGAGTCTGGGTGGACTGATGGTTACTGTCATCCAGACAGATTCTGAGGATGTTGTACACTGCTGCTGAGACAACTTTAGTCAGATTACTGTCCAAACATTTTCCTTCTAGTTCAGTTTCTAGATCTGTTAATCCTGTCTTGTGCAGGATCTGGAAGTGATATGCTGTGTTACTACATCACTATGTACATTTAACAAGTGCTGTGCTTTATTCATTTGAATATTTGCAAGCAACTGGGGGAGTGGTTTAATAAAATAGATGAGTACTAATTAAAAAAAAAACCATTAGATATTATAAATCACACCAGCAAAAACAGTATTGCCCACCTATACTGTACTTGTATTACATACAGTATTACTGGATTAACATTTTGTTCATTGCTCCATTTAATCAACTTTGCATATTTGCTGTGGATTTGTTACTTTGCTTCCAATTAATTACTTAGACAGGAATTAACCTTCAGGTTGTTGATCCGCAATAAAAAGAAAATACATATGTAAATTGTTTGCTTCTAGGTGTCCTAAAAAGTTGCAATATATCTTCTTGTGTGACTTTTATGACCTGGCAAGCAGGGTGTGGGAAAGGACCAGTTATTATCTAAGCCCGTTCCTCCAGTGTGATGACAAAAAAAGAAAAAGAAAAAAAGATTGTATTATTTATTCTAAAAACCTTTTCAAAAATAATGTCATAGTCTTAATTCAGTTCAATTTAATTGTTACATGAAATCCTAAATTTGATTTCAGTAAAATAAAATACAATATAAATGAAATAATCAGAAACTTTCTCACAATAATGAGTTAATATCTCAAAATAATTACATAATATCTTAAAAATGTTAGAACTTTCTCAAAATAATGAGTTAGTATCTCAAAATAGTGATAAATTAAAAAAAAGTAGTATATCATAATTATACCAAGGCATTATTCTAAGAAAGTCATTATTTTAAGAAAGTTTCTCAATATTCTGAGATACCAACTCATTATTTTGAGCAAAGTTTTCATTAAAATATAAACATAATGCTTTTTTTATCATCACACAGGCGGAAATGGGCTTCCATAGTGTTAGAAAGCACAAGGCTGATGAGGGAGAGTGGGAATAGGTGTGTTGGCAGGAGGGGCTGTCAGGTGACCAAGAGAGTCTGAGGGCATCTAGTGGATGGTCTGAAGATGGCAGGTCTGGGAATTAAGAGGAGATCAAATGGCCTGGGTGAAGTGAGCACAGGGACACAGGGAAGTTAAGACAGGGACAGAGCCAGGTCAGGCAAAACAACCAACAGACCAACTAGAAAGTCCTTATGACTAAACAAACAAACCAACAAATATAAAAAAGTAATCCCTTTTCACAACAGAGATACATTAAAAGACAAGTCATTTTGGGAAATGGGCTTATTTAGTTTCTTCCCAAGAGCTGGGTAAAACGATTGTCACCACTCTCACATCAGTCACACAATTTAGTCTGGTTATATCCAACGGTAACAAAATCTGCCGACCATCAGTGTTGAACAAGTTGCATCTCATGGGTTTGATCAGTTCAAAATAACAAAAGCAGAAGAAATTACTTGCCACTGGACAGCAGAAAAAGAAATTCAGAAAACAGCAAATGGTCTGAATATCATAATAAAGTAATTAAATATGATGTTGCTATGACAAGAAGCATCCTGGAAATGAGCCGGCCTTATAGTTACAATCATGTGTACTCTGAATAACACTGGAACTGGGATTTAGATGGCAGGCACTTGACCTGCTATGTTAGAATAAAGGAACACAGTGCCATATGTCATGCTGGACACACACACCCTTCCCTCCAGAGTACAGGTGGATTACCTCACTGCTGCTTAACACACAACTGAGATGCAGCATGCTTTGACTGAGGAGAGCTGAGGAGAAAAAAATCTTAACAGCCACCATCAGGATGAAGGTAAGGTCACTTTCCTAAAGATGTCAGGTCCTAAAGAAAGAATATTTAACATTAAATATTTAAGTATATGTTGATTCTTGCAGTTCAGTTAAACCTAGGTAATACAACTGAAAGCTCATTGGCTGTCATAATTTCCCAGGATTATCTGCATGTAGGGTCTCTGTCTAAACACCAGACTGAATGAACAGTAACAGCTTTGTATACTGTGATTCTTGTAGAGTATTACAGAATGCCAAGATGGCTATTGTCTTTCTATATATATTTGTCTTGAAAATTTTCTTTTAGATTTCCAATTAGCAACACTGTAGTTCTTAAACCTCGTGGATAAAACTCAGCAGGTTCTAGAAGCCTGGCCATGTTGGGGATTTTCCTTTGTAAATCCCAGTGAGGAAGCTCCTGGAGAGGCTAAACTACTTATCCCTGTCCACACAGCCCGCTGCTCCTACCAATATAGTAATTAGTGCTTTCACTTATAGTCAGTGGTGGAGTATAAAACATTGATGGAAAAATATCTGTTGGAGATTCCTCTTTTGAAAAGACCTCGAAGCTTCAAGACATTGATCCACTGTGAGATGTTCAGGAAGAGACATCTACTGAGGCAGAGATGATCACAGATTACAGTTCTTTCCCCTCGTGCAACCACCACAAAGAAGCCTCTTATATTATATTATTACCATTTAAGATTAATTAATCTAACCGTTCACCATATCTTGTAAACCTTGTCTTCCTAAATGTTGTTTAAATCATCCTCCACACTGCCAGGATGTGGTGCTGGTATAGAAATACTAGATCCCTTTATTTATGCAGCATTTATTAGAATGTTTCTTTGCCTATGAATTAATTTAATTCCAATGTAATTCAAAAAGGCAAAAATAACCTTCAGGGCACATCAAGCATAATTTGTACACAATTTTAGAATTTAAAACTGGTCATTAATACCCCCAAATCCCAGAGACATTACCAAAAACTGTGTAGGAATTTCTACATTCATAGACCAATACTGAAGACCAAAACCCAGCTGATTAATCGACCAATACCACAAGAGGGCACTCAACTCCTCAAAAAAACACATGCAAACTCAGCTCTATCTGAAATACACTGTACAGGAAGATGAGGGAGAGGAGTAACTGACCTGTTGTGTGTGAAGCATTCATCTGCAAACACTAGATGGCAGCACTTTCACATGGTAATCATACATGGAAATTCATCCTCCTGTCGTCCACATTAGGCAGCCTTCATCAAGGGGGTTATTAGTTATTATCCATGATCAAGAGATACGTTTGGATTAGTGAACATAATCCTTGAATTATAATCCAGATCATCTCTGAGTGGTTTAATCAAATTTGCAGAGGGGTGTTATTCTTTACGTAAGATGCAAAAAGTCTGCTGTTTTGAAATACTTTTCTGCTATTTTCTGCTCGATTGTTTTCATCCTATTATAAACTGCTACAATTTGTATCACTACTTCACTGCTTATCTTCCTAATTACATGGCTGTGATTAAGTTTGCAGGACCGAAGCCTTGTTACAGTACAATACAATAGAGTACAACTTTAATGTCCACTGAAATGGAGATTCAACTTTGACTACACCTTTGCAGAATACAACATTAAACTGCAATTGATATGAACATTAGTAGTACCAGCTAAGATAAGAAAGAGCAGGGAAAGTAAAATAAAGTCAATACAGTAAAATCTTATGTTTAAAATTCTGCTTGCATTGTGCATGAAAAACTTTTTTTTTCCCCTGTCAGAGACATTTAATCAATACATTTTCCATTTTTGGCCTTGAGAGCCATTTTTGTAAATGCACCTTGCCCAAATGACATTTTCAACAGTTTTGTACTTACGAGCTAATATACGTTTCTCCTGCTCCTGCTCAGGGTTTTCAGGCTCTCACCATGTGGCAAAAAATACAATTATTCTACCTGGGGATTCTGGAAAATGGAGGCAGGTCTTTATTTTCACGTTATTAATCTAATGACTGATGTAGTTCAATGCTATACTGTTAGCACATTAGCACAATCTTTGCTTGATCTCTCTTGATCTCTCTCCATATAGACAAGAGGACAGACAATTGGCCGCTGGTCTACTCTCCTGTGCCAATCAGCTGTATCTTTCTGTGCTACCTGGTCATTGTATGGTTGGGGCCAAAGCTGATGGAGAAAAGGCAGCCGATCAACCTTAAACCCGTCCTGATAGTTTACAACTTTGCCATGGTCTGCCTGTCTGCATACATGTTCTATGAGGTACGACTGTACTGTATGTGGGAACCTTTGTAAGGGATGTGTGTAGATGGGAAGCTGGATGCTGTGGCATAAATCATCCAAGCTGGTATGAAAACAAGTGCAAAAAGATGTCAAGTCTTTATTTTTAATCACAATATATCAATTGACTATGTGTAATGTGAAAGCTGTGGTTCACGGTGACAAACCTACTGAGAATAACCACTTGACTCTGCAGTTCAGCTTAGCTCTACAGAGCTATATAGCATCTGTTAGCCCATTGTCTTGGTTTGAGACTCCTGATTGTCACTGCCATCTCCGCTTTCCTCCTGAGGTCACAATTCTTCCATATTCCTCCAGATTTATGACAAATTTTCACACCTTTTTTTCCCCTTTTATTATCATACTGTGTTTCTGACAGCGTGTACAGCTCGTATAAGCGCAATGACCCTAAAAGTCTACTGTTTCCATCACAACAACAAGACAGCTACACCAGATATTTCCTGGCATCTCCTGTTCTGACAAAAATTGCCATTTCTTAGAGCTTTAAAGGAAAGGAGCATGCATTTTGTAAGATGTGTCACACAGTGCAATGAAATTATTGAATGAAAACTGATTAGAATTAATTCATGCCAGTGATTTTACATACATTCATGCCAGAAGGACGAATTATTCTGTTTACTTTTCTGGGAATTAAAAGTAAAATTAAAAGTCTTTGACATAAAAATGCTACTGCAGTGTAGTTATTACTTTGTCATTTTTATTCTTTAATAGTCACCAGATTTGCAGGAAACAAAGACTCTGAAACTTGATTTTTTTCTGAGGCAGGACACCCAGACCTCCCGCTTTGGTTTTGATAGGCTATCCTCTTTATTTTCCTACTTGAGGTCTCAAGGTTGAAAAGTACTGTATGTTTGCGTACTGACACTTTACACTTTTGGTTCAGTCTCACAGCTCTTGTGTCGTGCCGTCTTTGCCCGCAGCTCAGCACCAAACAGCAGACAAAGTTAGCATAGCTGGTGAACATGGTAGAACATTTAGCAGCCATCGAGCTCGCTATAGAGAATTGGACTTACATTTTACAGGTGGCCAAAACACAATTCCAGAAGAATGTTAATGTTACTGTATATCTTCTGGATGTATAAACAGGCAACCGTTGACTAACAATATCGACTTCAAAGGTGTTACTATGTCAGCTTTCCCCAAGTGGCATCAATTATCTCAGTTTTAACAGGACAAAAATCCTCCTTAGCATGGAGGTCAGACAGATGTAAGTCTCAGGCGATACCACAGTATTTATGTGCCCTGTCCATTGTGGGAGTTGTCAGTGAAACAGGAATTTATTTCACTCATTTACAGCCAATTTGTGTGTGACAAAAATGGGATGAAAGATCCCTGTGCTAATTAAGAGACAGCAGAGGTGAAATGCAGCTTTTGTCTTTCCAGTTCACAGCCTCTTCCTGGTTGGCCAGATACAGTTTGCTGTGCCAGCCAGTCGACTACAGTGACAGCCCACTGGCCATGAGGGTAACTCTTTTTATTACACTGTACTTTATGGAATAATGTCTTGAAAAAGATCCACTCTGGAATTTGCATTATGTGTCCATACAAACAGGTTCCATTGGCCTTGACCTTGGTGATATTCTGTAAAGGTGCCTCACAAAATCTATGTGTGTCCTTAAATTACAGTTTAAAAGACTAATAAGATATTTTTCACCGTGTTGGACAGATGGCCAGAGTTTGCTGGTGGTTCTACTTCTCCAAAGTTATAGAGCTCAGTGACACTGTGAGTATGAAATGAGTAAAAAGTTATTTAGATTTGTAAGAATTGTTATTTAAAACTTAAAGTATTTACCGCAACTCTCAAGTAAAGTGGCATATCTTCTTTTTGATCTCACCATGTGCCTGCGTGTGTGTTTTTGCGTTTCAGATATTTTTCATCCTGAGGAAGAAAAACAGTCAGCTGACCTTCCTCCACGTCTACCATCACGCCACCATGATCTTCAACTGGTGGGCTGGGGTTAAATATGTGGCTGGTGGCCAGTGTGAGTGCACGCCAACCCACCGGCCCAGTCTCACAACAATGTCATGAAAATTGAACAAAATGTGCAGATGAAGTCTTTTTACTGGAGAACACACACGTTTAGACACAAATTCTCAAGGGCATAATGTGTCACATTCTTCCTGTGTGTCTGTCCATAGCTTTCCTGATTGGTCTGATCAACTCCCTGGTCCATGTAGTGATGTATCTTTACTACGGCCTGGCGGCTTTGGGACCAAGCATGTCCAAATACCTCTGGTGGAAGCGTTACCTCACCTCCCTGCAGCTGGTCAGTATTTCGCCTCTGTGTGTTTGTGTGTGTGTGAGTACAAGTGTGTGTGTGTGTACCTCACTGGCCTTAGTTCTTTCCTTCTGTTTTTAGGATGTTATCACTTATCATATTCCTGTCATTGTCTCTATAAATGAGGCACTTTAATATGTAAATGTAGCAAAATGCATTTTGGTGACAAGTTCTCTTTTATGTTTTAACATAATTCAGCATTATGTTTGCTTGTTAAGCAACAGTCTTCAGTTCCACCTGTAGCATAAAGATAATTAGGCATATTTGAATAAAATATATCACTTTTAGCATCCTGTATGTAAAAAAATATGATGTTGGCACATAGGCGTTTCTAGCCCATTTTTGGGAGTGCTGAAGTACCCCTAAATTGAATCCCAGCACCCCTAAAATTTGAGAGTTTTTTTTAAATTCTTTTTTTACTGTATGTCCCTTTTATGGGCCCGAACGACGCATAGTGCGTCCAAATTCACACCTGTTCTTCTCTATTGATTTTCTCCGCGACCGTACGACCGCGTAGCCACGCATATCACGCGAAACAGCGGAATTGTAGCTTTCCGACAAGGTCAAGCACTTGTCGGTAGTCCAATGTTGTCACAGCGAAAAAAATGATAAATTTACACTAAAATCATGAATAACAGAGCTTTACAGCTTTGCACACACATTACTGTTGGATAGATTACTCGCGAATGCAACGAAATGCCACGCATATCACATGAAAGCACTGGAGCAGAGCTTTCCAGTGAAACCACACACATCATTGTGCTGTCATCCCATCACGCTATAAATCCAGATCAGTTGTCTACAAAATAAAAACCTGACGAATTTCTTTACAATCCATCTTGTTATCAGTCACTTCATATAGTGAGGAATATCGTATCTTACCACGTCTTAGGCTTGCGTGTGTTTCTCCCTGTCTATCTACATTTGTAGTCCGGCTTTCAAGATGCAAATATCTCCATATTGTCCAGTTGACACTCCATCAAACTTTGTATGACAAGACCAGCCACTTCACCTTTGCGCACCCAGACAACTGTAGCCTAATTATGCATGCATGACAGGGCCATAGTCACCATATACATTGAGGGGGACATGCCCCCC